TGGGCCCAAGAATCCCTGCTCTGTACTGAAGCCCATGATCCCAGAGGCAGTGACAGTGGAGGCAGCAGAACCAAGGTCTCCTGGATGGGAGCAGTGGGCTAAGAGCTTATGGGATGGGAACTAAGCTTGCTGGCCCTCCGAGCTAGAGCTGAGCACCCCCAGGCTGAGGCTTACTTACAAACTGGAGCACCTGTGGAACTTGGTGACATCACCTGAGCAGAAAGGCTGAGGGGCTGCGTGGCTGGAGGCTACGGACCAGGGCTGACAGATACATTTCTGACCCTGCTTTGTAACCTGTAGACTTGAGAATCCTTTGTGAGTTCCATGTGGTGGCTGCCATGAATCAGCCCTGCAGCAGTGCCGTGGGAATTGATAGAGAAGGCTGGAGGGTGGAGGTGTGTCTGACCTCTGCTCTGTGGAAATCAACCTTGGGCTGAAGTTGAGTTTGACTGTCCTCCTTTTGGAGGTTCTGAGGAGGTCTGCTGCCCCTCCATGCCATTGTTACTGGACCTCAGAGCTCATCTTTACGTTCGGAGCTGTTTCTGTAGTGAAGAAAGTTCAAGTTACTGCTGGATGTTTTTTTGTCGTAAAGAGGTGTTTCAGATATGCCGTTTAACTTTGCTGAACATATCACTGATTGGGGTAGAAAGCAAGTTTATTTTTCTTATAGCCTGATTTGTAGTTTTAAAATAAAACTACTAAAATCTTTCCATTGTTTCCCATGCCAAAATTGGACCAAGCCATTTTAATAAAAATAACCATACCCTTTCTGAATTGTCAAAAAACGAGTTTCTCAAATATTTACATGGGCTGGTGCTCCGTGTTATTTTCCATCGTCAGAGTATGGTCTCGTTGTGGGGCCCAGTCCATGCTGGGTTCCCCTCGTGGACAAGGAGGATGACAGATGAAGGCCCAGTGGGCTCGGGGTCACAGCCGAGTCAGCAGCAAGCCCCACAGTGCCTTGGTGACCCTCTCTGCTGACCAGGGAGCTTGGAGGAGCTGTCCTGCCCCAGCGAGTTCCTGGGTATCAGCAGTGAGACCCTGTCCTCTACTTCCACTGGGGTGCTGTACCTGGACTCCATTGTGCACATGGTCCAAGGGCTGCCCACGGGTGACCCCACCCTCACCGGAGCGCCAGGAGGCAAAGCAGGGAGTGGCGCAGGTCTGTGGAACGTCTGGTCAGTTCCTTCTCACAGATGCTGTCTGATTGAGGGAGAGAATCGCTTAAATCACTAATGATTCCCTGTGGTCTGATTGCACGTCCCAGACTGGAATTTCGATCCTCTTTCCTTTTACCATGATTGGCAGTTCTGCTGTGCCTACTGAAAGTTTCATGTCCCTGTATGAGGAAGCGTGTGTGCCAGGTGATTTTTACTTTAGACAGAGAGGGAGCCTTTTGGGGTGAAGTTGATCACTCTCAGCTCCTTCTCACCTGCCCTGAGCTCCTGATCATGTTCTTGGTCTCTGTGTGTTTGACTGACGGAAGGTGTGTCTCTTCTCACATGAGCAGAGGAGAGGTGTGGATCTCGTGTGTTGATTCTGGCGTCTACTTGCTCGGAGGGGCCCTCGTTGGGCTGAGACCTGGCTGAGCTGTGTGTGCTGCTCTCTGCTCAGGCTGTCCCATGCTTGGACGCCCACCATCACTGCAGGGGTTGGTGCGCACAGCCCCAGACATAGAGCGTGTGTGATGAACATTAGCCTGTCTGATTTCTGAGAAAGGCCAGACCAGACTTCAGTCAGGTCCTGCTTGTGAGGACCTCTAGCTGGACTACTTCCAAGTTGGCTAGAAAACGTAGTTTCCTAAGAGTTTCATTGACTAAGATGCTCACAACTTCCTCTGCTGGCTATGAAGTGTGTGGGGTGCCCGTGCCGCTCCCACGTGCCTCTTGGTGTTTGCAGTTGTCTTCCGAGTCACTAGCAGCCCCTTGAGCATTGCGGGAGGGTAGCTGGGAGGCGTGTGCGTTCAATTGTTCCAAAGCCATGGTGACGCTGGTGGCTGCCTCTACAGGGTACAGCCTGCACACTGGCTCTAATCAGATCCTCACAGACATGGGGATGCTTTGGAAAGGAGTCACATCAGCTGGTGCCTTCTGTGATGGGGTGGGTGGGTGTCTGAGTAGCCCAGGGGAAACGCCTGGGGTCTCGTGGCCTCCTCCCGTGAGTTTGTGGTGAAACTGAAGTTGAGTGAGTGAGAGAGGTTGTTTTTCTACTTGGTGGAGGTGCAACACCTCTTGAGGAAGATGTTAGTGACTCGGATGAAGCAAGCAAACAAAACTGGTTACTGACACAGTCCTGTGTGTGACCGGCTGCAGCTGCTCCACAGAGCTTTCTTTATGGCATTAGATTGCCAGGAATTTATTCCACGTCGCTTCAGGGAGGATGTGAGCCACCAACCTTCAGGTACCGTACATCGAGGACTGCTGTGATGTGCAGAGAAAGGGGCTTCGCAGCATAGTGGCCTGTCCTCAGAGCTGCCCTGTGTGTCTGCTGGACCAGGGTCCTGTTCACCCTCCTGGATGTAAGCGTTCCCTCGGGGTTGGAATCAGCTCTGCAGCAGTGGGCCTGGTGTTAAAGCACAACAAAAGGAGCTTGGCTAGTCACCAGAAGGCCGCGGGTTCAAACCCCCCAGTTGCTCCGCTGAAGAACAGTCTGAGTCTGAGAACATTCCAGCCATGGGGGGCTCGATCGTGGGGCAGGTCTGCTGAGTCCTTCTGGCTCCAGCTTGTTGGTTTTTCTTTAAGAAGTTGCAGATGATCATCGCCATCTGATGTTAGACTTCTGAGCTCTCGGTGTCCCTTCCCTGAGTGGTACAGACGTGGTCACCGTGCGTTCATGCTACTCTTATCCCATCCCGGGCATGGTGTCTCAGCGCTCGACCTCCGTGCTGTGTCTGTCTGTCTGTACAGATTCATCCGCACAGGGAGGACTTGGCTGAGCAGAAGCCGGAGCCCCTCACTTCCTAGAGGAATGAGGTTGACTTTGCTAGCCCCCCGACTCCCAGCTGTCGTGTGTACCCTCCCAGTTGTGTTCAGAACGTCCTGGGCCCAGGGACGGCTGTCCACTCCCGCCGCACTGTCCTGCACTCTGGCCCTCCTGTTTGAGCCCAGATGGGCCGTGTTTGCAGTTGGTTAGCTCCCATCAGGCCGTGAGCATCTTCTAAGTAGCCTCCTGAGCACCCTCAGCTGCCATTTCCATGTCTGCTCAGCTCTACCTACCCTGGCTCCTTCATCCCCAGGATGCCCCACTTCTTGCTGACGCCCCTGCGCTGCTCCCCTTCTGAAATGCTGTCCGGGGCCTTCCCATAGCCACTCTTCTTGCTTGGGCCTGTAGGTTCCATCTTCAGCTGCGCATCCATCAGTCTGGGCCTCAGGACCTCCCCTTGGCAACTGGCGTGCGTCTGTGCCCGTAGCCAGCTGCTGTTGGCAAGGCCAAGCACTGACTGCCTCCGCTGACCTGCCTCTTTACAGGAAGTGGGACTGGGACGAGTGGGAGCCGTGGTCTGTGTGGGTGCCTGCTTCAGCCTGGGTGAGAGGAGATTGTGTGGAGTCCCCACTGAGACTTGTGACTGCACGTGGCCTTGTCCTGGGCCCTGGGTCCTCACCCACATAGACTCATGCTACTGTTAGAACAGCCCCAGAGGTTGTCATGTAGGGAAGAGTCTGCACAGAAGCCATGTGCCTGGCCCCAGCGTGTGTCTCCATGGCACCGCATGGTCCCATCGTTGGGAAGGAGACTCCACTGCAGCTGTCGGGGGATGCTCTGTCTCCTGTCCACCACTCTACCCATCTCCCCATTGGCACAGGGGAAGTCTGGCTACTCTTTCTGCATCCAGCAGACACATCGCCGTGACCAATGGCCATGCTAGAGGCAAAGGACAGGGTGGTGGTGCCTGGCACCTGGCCTTCTTGTGTTAGACTGCCCAGAGGAAGGCCCGGTCGGCCATCGGGGTCATCTGATCTGCAGTATGCAGGGTTGGGGCTGGGCTTGTCTGCAAGGCAGGTTGGTGTCTGTCACGAGGTCAAACTGGGACCTCAGTTAGACGGGAGCCAGTGAAGGGGCGGGGCACACATAGGAAAGTCGATCACGTGTGTGCCAGTCATGGGGCCATGCACTGGTTTCCTGTCGTGTTCTAGAACACACACACACAGGGTCGGCCCTGGCACTGTGTGTCCGTGAAGCCAGCAGCTCAGGGGATGCCAAGCCCTGCCCCTCCCACGAACTCACGTCCAGATGCAGCCTCTCCTTGCCAGCGACTCTGGGGTGACCACCATGAGGGAGGGTGCTGGCCGAGCACTGAGCAGTGGGACAAGAGGTGTCCACTCTGACCTTCCAATGTCTCTCACAGCTGAGAGGTGGAAGAAAGGTGTGGGGAGGAGGAAGTTTATAAAGGAGAAGGGTGGGGAAGTATCAGCAGGGCTATAAGGAGGCCTGGTGATGCAGTGGATTAAGCACTTGGCTACTAACCAAAGGTGGGTGGTTCAAACCCACCAGCTGCTCTGAGGGGAACGATGAGGTGGTCTACCTCGAAAGGGCAGTTCCACTCTGTCCTACAGGGTGGCTGTGGGTTGGCGTGGACTTGACGGCAGCGGATGGTCTCGGGGCTGAGCTGTCTGTGGAGACAACTGCATGTCAGGACGCGTGGAGCTGGCCTGTGGCCGTCCCTCCGAGCAGCCACACGGGGACAGAGCTGGGAGTGAGTCGAGCATTTCCGACGTTGGTGGTCGCCTCTGGCAGACCTTATGCAGGACAGTGTGTGGGCAGGAGCCCCCCCTGGGTGTAAGAACCAGGTTCAAGGCTCTGCAGCCTGTTGTCTTGAATAGAGTTCATCCTGCTGAACGGGTGAAGACCCCACGGCTGCCGTTTGGGGAGTCATGGCATCTCTCTGGTGTCAGGCTGTGGGAGCTGGTGGATGGGGGGCCCATGGTACGTCTTCCTCTGACGTGTGAGTGTGCTCGGTACGTGCCCCTGACCCTGCTTCTGAGGGTGCTCATATCTTTCAGAGGATTACCCTAATGGGACCTGGCTGGGTGACGAGAACAACCCCGAGATGCGGGTGCGCTGCGCCATCATCCCCTCGGACATGCTCCACATCAGCACCAACTGCCGCACTGCCGAGAAGATGGCACTCACGCTGCTGGACTACCTCTTCCACCGGGAGGTGCAGGCTGTCTCCAACCTCTCGGGCCAGGGCAAGCATGGGAAGAAACAGCTCGACCCCCTCACCATCTACGGTATCCGGTGTAAGTGAGGGACAGCCAGGCTGCGGAGGGAGGGGGCAGCCCACTGGGTAGAGCTCACTCATCCTGGGCCTTCTTTCCAGGGAGCAAGCAGGGTGAGAGCTGGGCCCTTCTGCCCACCCGAGGTTTCTCCCGAGCGTGCGCAGTGGTTCGTGGGACGCCTCTCTTTTCTTGGTTCATGGACCTAAGGCACTGATGCCCCTCCTCGGAGAATGACTTTGCTCGACCTTGTGTCCTCTCCGTGGTAGCGTCCCAGAGGCCAGTGTGCACAGACACTCCTCTGTCCCTCACTGCTGACCTGCGCCCACAGGTGTGCACACGCGGCTGTCCAATCAGGACTAGTAACTGGAGCTACGTTTCTGCTCGTCTGTCTTCAGTTTTCTTCTCCCTTGAATTTCAGGTTGCAGTCACAGTGGTACTGACCTCTACTCCTGGTGCCGAGCTCTGTCCATGTTAACCTGGTCAGGTTCTCTGGGGAGCCCCTCACCACTTCTCTGTGAGGCTGCTCACTGGAGAGCCAGACCACCTCATCACTGGAGAGTGGGCTTCTGGGAAGGGGACGGCTGGGAACAATCACAGGGAAGACTGCTTTTGGTTGTGAGGGGCTGCCAGGCAGCTTGCCAGGACAGTGGTCAGGAGTGGTAGCTGGGCACCATCAAATTCTCCTGGTCTTGGGACCAGTAAAACCCTGGTTTGTGTAGACTGTTTGACTTGCACAGATTTCTGATTTTTGCTCCATTTTTCGTGTCGGTACCTATGTGTATCTTGTGATGCTAACAAGTGTTCTAACCTTTGTACCCTTTCACTAATCCCTAGAGGAATTTGGAAGGTTTTTTTCTGGAATGTGAAGGAATAGGAATGGAAGGACGGTTTCTAGAATGTTCCCCTCTTTTTATTGAAAACCAGATGCAACAAGAGACAGATGCTGGATGTGGTTGAGTGTCTGTGACGACAGCTGCTTCTCACCTTCCCCTTCAGCTGTAGTCAGTCACGAGCCAGGAATTCTTTTCTCGTTTTGCTTTCTTTAAAGCTTTTATTATGAATTAAGTGATAGTTTACATTGTAAACAATCAGTTTTGCACTGAACCGATTGTATTTTGGGTACAGAAGGATTGCAGTCCCCTCCAGGCACCATCTGTTAACAGGACTTGCCTCTGTTCTCGCTCTCTTTTTTTCTTGATGTACACAAAAATACACAGGAATATATAATCATTTAAATAACCCAAGGGCACATTCTGTAAGCCTGCCTCCTGGCCACCAGCACACAGCCTTTCTCTTTGCATGAGCCTAGAGTCCTCAGCTGCTCTCTCTCTCTCCACGCTATCACCTCTGCTTCTGTCTCTGGTGTTGCTGCTTCTCTGGTTAGGATCCCATGTTCCATTCATGCTCTTCCTTCCCTCTTGATGACCCTAGGGCCCTCTGTTCCTGGAACGTAAGATAAACTACTCCCCCCGTTTTTGTTACACATCTTCTTCCTTTACAGTTGTGACAGTCGCAGTTAGTCATGATGACAATTACTCACTATGGAATAAAAAACTCTATCCCCATTTTCTTTCACCATACCCATCTAGACAATATGAAAACTACTCAGTGTGGATTCTACCTTACCCGGCACACTCTGAAACTAAACTATCTCCTGAAAACTTGTAAGCCTGCTACTTCATGCCTTTATAGCCTCCCTGTTTAGCTAGCCAATGTCATAAGTTGCCCGTCCTTGTCAGCCCTGTGTACTGAGGGGATAGGCTTGGTCCCTGATGTGAAGACGCCTTCCCTCTCAGTTGGTATTTTGAGCTACTACACCCATAAGTAAAGGTCAAGTTCATCAAATTGTAACAATTTACACTTGCTTCCTGTGTCAAATTTCTTTATCTTCTAGTCGAGATCTGATCCTCAAGCCATCCAAGCTATATCAAATGGGTATTATATACAAGTTAGGGTGTTCTTGCGTGCCTCCCCCCACTTCAGATCAGATGGATGCTTCACTTTTAAGCTCTGGTTCCCCATGGCTAGGTCAGCTTCCATGCGCTCAGGAGTTCCCAAGTCTCCCCAAACTTTGGACCAACTAGACCCTTCCTCTTCTCTCTCTCATCTCCAGGTTAATAGGAGTCTGTGGAATATGATCAAACTCAACCCAGGTCTTCATTACTGCCTTTCCCCCCACTTCCATTCACAAGTGGACCACACCAGTGAGCTTACAAGTCTGCTCATGTGTTCCCTTTGAGTTTCTGTCTTGGAAGGGGCTTTGTCCTGAAGGGACTGATTGCTTGCCTTGATGGCTCCCAGGCAAACAGCTTGCTTACAAACAGTCTGCTTTTCTTTTTCTTTCCTGATGATCTTTCTTTGAAGAGGTATCTTCTGTTGCTCTAGCTGTTCCAGGCTGGTCTGCTTTTCCTTTCTAGTGGGAATGTCCCACCTCAGAAGGTTCTGGGTGGGGCTCAGGATTCTACCTAAGGCCCATTTCCCTGAGCAAGTTCTGGAAGCCCTTTTAGGTATTCCACCAGGAGTCCTTGAGGCCATTTATGTCCAGCACCTGAAGCCTGGTGTGTTGCAGTCAGTAAACCGTTACGGTACTGGAACCACTCAGGGCATCGTTGCGTGATTAAAACTCAGCAAGTAAAGAATTTCCTTTGATGTATGAAGATAAAAAAGCGCTTCTAACTACCGTAGATTACTGTTCCCTCTCATCCTATGAATTTGAGCCCTCCTTACCCCAGCTTCTTTTCCTCTGGATGAAAGAACTTTTGCTTGCCAGAATGTTCAGAGTCTGAGATGTCATAAGCATGTGCTCCTAGAGGCAGTCCAGTAATGTCTTTCCAAAACAAAGGAAACTTTTGATGCTGAATGTAGGCCTTTGTTTGGATTATTGGCAGTATTTTGGGCTCTATAAAGAGAGCAGATTGGAAGGGTTGGGACAGTAATCTGACCCGCAGGGGTTAGCCCAAACCCTACTGTTTGTAGTCAAAATAGGATGTTTCTTCTTTTTTTTTTATCCACTCTTTTTTATTTTTTATTTTAAAAAACTTTTATCGTGAACTGAGTGCTAGTTGACATGGGAGAACATTGGCTTTAAGCCATTGTTTCATTGTAGTGATTACAGTCTCCTCCACGCATCTTCATTCAACAGTATTTCATTCCCGACTTTGTTGTGTTTTTTTGTTTTTTTTGGGGGGGGGGGGCAGTGTGCACAGAAACATTCAGGAATATATAATAATTTAACCACCAAAGGGCACATTCTGCAAGCTTGCCTCCTGGCCGCCAGCACCCAGTCCCTCTCTTCCCATGAACCCAGAGTCCTCAGCTGCTCCCTACTCCATGTGCTCATCTCTGCCTCCATCTCTGGTGTCTCAGCTTCTCTGGATAGGGTCCTGCACTCCACGTGTGCCATTCTCTCTTGGTGGTCTTAGGGTCCTCTGTTTCTGGACTGTAAAATTAACTACTACTCCGTTTTTGTTATAAAACTTCTATCTTTGCAGTTGTGACAGTTGCAATTAATCATGATAATAATTTCTCAGTATTTTTTTTTCTACTTTCACTTTTATTTGCACTTTATTTATTTATTTTAATGTTTTATTGTGAATTATGTGATAGTTTACATGGGAGAACATTAGTTTTACATTCATCCTATCATATATCATTTCACTGCCATGGTTACAATCCCCTCCATGCATCATCAAACAACCAAAGGGTATACCCTGCAAGCCTGCTCTTCAGTCGTCAGCACACAGCCCCTCTCCCTCTCTGTGTCTA